GGCATGACACTCATAAGCTGTGCAAATGCAGGCAAGAAGACGTAGCAAGAATCCCACAGGTATCTGGATTATATCTCTATGCACGGCTGGTTTTTCAAAAGAAATCATCAGACTTTCCCAGCAACCGTTTAGCTTATTATTTGCTGTAGCTGAATTAGGGAAGACTAAGCTTGTCTGAAGGGTCGAGAGTTCCGGTTTCTGTGAGTATATAAATGTATAGCAGAGGATATAAACGGTATTTAAAGTGCTGCAAAAATGCAAACACTCTTCGCACTTGTGAGAAAATGGCATTGTTTCCGAATAGTTGTGACTAAGCTGAGTAATACAGTCTGGTTCGCTGCGGATGAAGGGGAGTGTCCGCGCGGCTGTGTTTTGCGCTGCCAAACCCATTCTTCACCAGTGGTTGAAGAAGGTGAGTGACAATATCGGTGGAAGATGATTGATGCGAACGACATGATGCAGTCTTGTCGCTTGCCGAAAAAAAGAAAAAAGCGCTTTAACGCCGCGCCAAACGTAGCTGCGCTGACAGGCCCCATCATCCGCAGCGAACAAGAGTACACCTTGTCGTGCTTTTTATACATAACTATACCAGCTGTAAGCTGTACTATACTAGCCAGACTCCTAGTATGTTGCCAGTTATGTACCCACCAGCTGTTAGCCACTTCTAATTCATCACACTCATTTACCATCCTTAGGAACAAGCGTGACCAGATGATACCACTTGGTTACATGTGGGGTGGTATGGTGTATCTCAGAGATGACACTCTCAGCTTCTTTCACTGGCTATTTTTTAATCGTAGTATTTAAATTATCTACCGTACTGCATTTTAATTTAGATTTTACCTCACTCTTCAACATAATGAACATACTGTTGGCAGTGTTACATTACAGGATCATCCGAAGTCATTTGACGCCTCAGTGATCCTCGACGAATACAAGGACTATCATTTTGGAACATTTACGCCCAACAAGGTTTGTGGCAGTAGTCGTCTCTCTGCTAGTCCCAGTCGAAACCCTTACGCTCAGAAGAAAGAAGCGCCGCACGGTTCTCTACCGCTTCATATCGCCGTATTCAATGAAGGAAACGAGAATTCTCATCTGTGCCCATCTTGCTTTTTACCAGCCGTTGTCTCCGTAAGAATACGATTTTCCACCTGATCACAGTCTCAGGAACAAGCGGAAGCAGAAGAGCCCTCCATCGTTGAGGACTCTTCAACAGGGGAGGGCGTATTTGGTCCCCCCTCTCCCCTACCTCCGCTCGACAGCAAAATTTTGGGGAAAATGAGAAAATTTTCGGGAAATTCCGGAAAAAAAACTGGACGAAATGGTGGAGATTTGGGAAAATCTAGGAAAACGCTCGGGAAGGCTGGGGAAGGGGACGTATTTTCCAAAAATTTTTCTCAGCGGCAAAACGTGCCCTGGAAAAAACAACGAACCGAAACCGTGAAAGGCGAAGGGGGTCGTATCAAGCCACCTTTCTAGGAGGGAGGTCGTACGGACTCAACCAAAATCTTCAACTCATGATGTACCCTGTTTAGGATAACTGGTTGAGAGTACATGGATGAGGGCTAGTTGACATGAGACAAGTGCTTTTACACCATCAATTAAAGCGGGGAAACCCACGATTGATTTGTAATTGTTTCAGATTGTTGTGTGCTCGATCAATACTGTGAATACAGAAACAGGCTTCTATCAGCAGCTCTACGAGATGGGTCTGCCATAGTCTGGCGCTGCTAGTGACGGCAGTCCTCTGCGGACATTGCTCTGTTGTACTTTCCTCTGATAACGATTAATTGCATCTACGTAACAGCCCATTAAAGTTGATTTTCTTTTCACCGTTGGCGAGAGATTAATTGTTTTGAGTTGCTATGCTTTCATTGATGTAGGTTCCTTCCAATACCTCTTGTGATGACAGTCTTTACTGTTCTCGTCTGGCATTTGTTACACATGGACTGCGATGATGCCATTGTTTTTCTATGTTATCGATAGCAGAAGTTCATGTTTGTATACGACGTTTACGTTGGTTGATTATCATTTCTTCTTGACAAAAAAAATCTTTCTTTTTAGCTGTGTAAACCACGTGAAACATAGTGGCCTAGCGTTCATTTCTAAAGACAGACTATGCACTCACTTCCATGTTTTCTTGCCATGTGAGGAGCGCAGGGAGATGAGAGGGGAGGGGAAAGTATTGTCGACTATTTGTATCCCCGTAATGGAGAGTGTTCTCTAACATTTTTGCAAACGGTATCTTATGGTGTTGAAACGCTTTTTAATTGTTTGACGAGGTTGTTATAAACATTTTTCGGCTGACGTTTCGGCGGTTTCGCCTTTTTTCGGAGCCTGAAAGGTCAAGCCGAATCATGATGTCCGAACTAGCATCGAACGCACTCCCCTACCCTTTCGACCCCACAAGTCCAGCACGTGATACGAGTGAAACACTTAAGATACCTCAACCGAATCCACCGGATCAAACCACGAGCTTCCCGGTGATGGAAGCTTTCGAATCGAGAGTATCCAGAGCCATTAAAATGCTAATCTTATATAGGGAGATAGCTCTCGCGTGATTGATAAGCATTCTCCCCTTCGGTTCATTCTTGGATTCCTGACCTGAATCCAGAATGCTTCGAGAGTTTTTCGCGCGGAAAGTTGGTCTTCGCGCTCTAAAACCTCTACCGTGACTCCAAAATCGTCTCCGTTGTGGTCTTGTACCCTGTGGCATCCTAAGGGGGATACACGCAGTCTAGACTTTCCATCCAGATGCTCCTTGATCCGCACATGGAGTGGCCTAGCCGTTTCACCAATGTATTCATCTCCAAAAATTAGACCTAGATCTTGTAGACCACACCTGCGACTGGTGCAGTCTCCTTCCCTGCCAGCAGGGCAATCTAGCGCAATCGGGGGTTCCACATGTGCGATCGTAGAGGCGGTTTCGAACTAGGCGATGTTTTTAGTTATTAGGAGGAATCTCCACTAAACCAACAATGTTCTGTAGACCCGATCTCCTCAGGCATTTCTTTATGGAAGTGCTTACTTCATCGGAGATGAAAGGTAACATGAATGGTATTTTGTCCATCAATGGGTTACCTGGTCTACTCGCAGCAACATCTGTTCTGGCTCTACGCATAGGCGAGGTGAGGTGGTAGCCATTCTGCTCAGCCATAAGATGCCATTCGGTATTTTATGGATTTGTGGAAGCTTTCAAAGCTTAAAAGTTTCTCAAAGGTGAAGGTACTTTCCGACCTATCCTATACTATGAGTTCCCGTGGTGCCACATAACCGTAGTCATAGTGGTTCAGTGGTAAGGTTCGACGTTCGACGACTTGATTCGATGTATGCGATCCCTCGCTTATGCTTCACAGCTCACCAGCCAGCCTTCACTCTACTGAACCATTTCGGAACCTCTCATAAGTTGCTTGTGAAATGCAGGTTGCAGTTTTGCTATCTATATTTGTAAATAACCTTATAGACTATCGATCTACCCAGGTCTCCATTCAAAGTTCCGTGGTAACTTGGCGGACTTTCTTCAGGAAAGCGCGTGCAAACTGGAGTCATTTCATTGAAGTTAGGTAACGTATAGGAAGGCCACAAGCACAGAATGACACGGCCGTTTACTCTACCCATTGGAAGCGCAGCCGAACGTAACCACCAGTACGTTGGCAACCTCTCTAGGCTGCTCCTGAGCGGTAACTGCCATGCCCCTCCGCAATCTCCACTAGAGGGAAAATTTTCTGTGAAGGATGCCGCATGAGTTGGACCAGTGTGACAAAGCGCACCGAATGGTCGTGACTGGATCTCCTTCTCTTTATACACATTGAAGGACTTTTGTGAGACCGTGCATGGTAAAGGGAGCTGGGTTCCTTTGCCTAAACATGCCCTGGGAGCTGGGTTCCTTGCCTAAACCATGCACATGATCATGACAGAATCCCTCAAAGAGAAAACTCGTTGAGCCAAAAGCAGGTGTCTGTTGAAAAAAGATTGTAAGAAGTTCTTCAATCTCTTAGTGTTCTTGGAAGGACGCCAAAAAGATGTCGCTGAGTACTGACACAGCTATCGCACTCACAAAATAGCCTATTCGCCCTCAAGAAATGGATGACGTCACGCTAGGTTTCGAAAAGAACGCGCAGTTTCTCTCTACTCCTCGGCAATGGAGACTCGTAAGCCCGTATGTGACGATGAGGCTACGCCAAGAATTTTTGGATCTCGATCAGGGAATGCAACCGTACCCAGCCTGTTCACCGCACTTAATAGCCTCTATCTACCCCCCCCCTTCCCCCCTACTTCGGTCCCTACTACATCCTTCAGGTAGCAAAGATTTTAAAATCGACGCCTACTCAGGAATGAGGTCCACCTCTTTTTTTTCCATCGTCGTTCCACTAGCTCTACAAGAGTGGAATCGAGAGGCGGGTTGAAGGTGGGTGGGCACTAATCCTAGTTGTTAGTGGCGATTACCCTGTTGATTGGAGATGTCGCCTAGCGAAGGGAAATATGGTCAACGTGTCGCAGGACTTTTTTTAATTCCTCTGGTGAATGAATAGTGCCAAGAAATTTTTCCAAGAACCAAATCACCCCTCAATTGTCAAAAGCTTAAGACCCGCATCAGAGGGTAGGGTACTGACGGTTTTATTGAAAAAAATCAAGAGGCTTTATCGTAGAACCGAAATTCGAGGTGATAATATACTTGTCTTACATACGTGCCGTAGTCGATTAATCGAAACAGCTTCCCTATCCAATTTGTAATCTCTCTTAACGCCATTTTCAGAAGAAGCCGGGCACTCATTATCTCAGAAAGTCGTGCAGTCCCACTACAGTCCAAATTCCGCGGACCTGTCATCTGTAAGGTGTTATCGTAGTTCGGCATGTGATTAATTACGCAATTTTTACGACCGTGAGGAGCATTTTGCACGGTTATCAGCTGAATGCTTATTGAAGAGCGCTAGGCAAAAAGTGAGCGCGAAAATGAGAAGTATAAAAAGCGTCTGGATAATGTGTGACAGATAAAATGGGTCTGGCGCTTTTCAAGGATTCAGGTTCAGACATTTTACTTTTCAAGTGCGTTGTGTGCTCACTCCCCCACCTCCCTGCTGACCGCTCGACGGCTGTCTGAATTTCATTGGACATACTTGGAAAATGACTGGGGAACGTTTTTGAAAAACTAGCGAAAATGAAGGAATCCCAGGAGCGTTAGAAAGATGGCAGGCACGATGGAGGGGAGGACTCGTGATCTGCAAAGTTTCCCCACAACGGCAGGACCGTGGCGTGGCTGTCATATGGTAGAGGCTCTCCAACAAATACTCATCGTTGCAACGTTGTTTTCCAGAATATTTTTCCTACTTATCTGCTCGTTCTTTGCTTAAAACTGTCTTAATTCTTGTCCTTGTGTTAGTTCACAGCTGCATAAACATCAGACCTGTTCAAAATGTTTTATGTGGTTTGTTTCGAGTTCATTCTCTCGTAGTGTAGCAGCAGGACAACTCGCCAGCAACTCGAATATTCGAGATATTTCACAAAATTCGTGAGACAGAAGAATTCGCTAAGAAGGAATGGGCATGAATGTGTGGCTCAGCCGTATTCGACAAGTGTTCATCTTCTCGATTGTTGCATTTGCCTCCAACTTCGAATATGGCTTCTCCACTACGTATCTAAACACACCGGTGGAGGAATTTAAGGTGAGTGACACCTACTGATGCCGGAAAATACACCTATCCTGGACATAGGGAGGGCGTGGCTGCATATTCATTTGAACATGAATTGGGATTAGACTTTTACTTTATCCCTTTTTGAGCGAGAGTTGGTGTAGTGACAAGTGGGCGCTTACCATTCGCGCGGTAATGGGTTCAAATCTTGAGTCGACTCCCGCCCAGGCCAACCAAGCCTTCTACCCTCCGGGGAACGGTAAATTGGTACCAGATTCGTCTGGGAGGATAAAACACTGACTTGTACATCGGCTGGCCTCCCGCAAGTCATTATATATACCCCTTATCCCTGAGAAGGAGTAGGCGTGGCATTCGAGTAGGCACAGAAAGGGTTACTCGTGGGATTTTTCAATTTGAGACAACTATCATCTTGTTCAGTGCTGGACAGAGATGACTACAACTGTGTCGAAATGAAAATATCTCAAAATATAAATAAGTCGCGCAGCCAGCCCCTAGTACACCTCAGGGGATTTTCGAGCTAAGGTCACGCGTTCGAGGAGGCTCTGAATGGAAGTAGACACGCCCGACAAAAGGATTGAACAGCGACGAAGGCTTTAACCTTCTATCCTTCATTCCTTGCAGACAAGATCGTCCCCCTGGGATGATCGTCGTCTCCCGGACCTACCAGGTCCGCGCCCGCTATCGTATACTAGAGAATCCTCTGGGATTGTGTAGGCGTGGCCGATGTTTCAACTCAAGCTGAGGTGTCTACGGCTGTTCTGGTGAGTAATATTTTCATCTTGGAAACAATTGGCTGGTACGTGTCTCTGGTCCAACCGCAGAACAAGATGACAGTTGTCCCAGACTGGAATATTCCACGAGTAACCAATTCCGTGCCATGTTCAAATGCCACGCCTACTCTGGCTCAGGGATGAGGAGTGTACAAAGGCACAAGATTATACTATACAACAGAGAAGCCGCTGCCATCTCCCACGCCCTCCCCATCTCCGGAATATAGCGTGTAGGTGTTATTTTTGATAACTGCTGTTTAACGCCGCAGTACGCGATCCGAAAGCTATCACAAGAATGCTGAGTTATGGGCAAAAGTCGGACCACGGACGGGATCCCGTCCGTGGTCCGACTTTTGCCCATAACTCAGCATTCTTGTGATAGCGTGTAGGTATCTTCGACGTTTTATTTCAGGTCTTTTTAAACGAGTCCTACGCAAAAGAGGGTCGGACTATGACCGAGTCCATGTACACGATGATATGGAATCTGATCCTTAACATCTGGTTCGTGGGATTCTTCATCGGGATCTGGTTCAGTCCTCTTCTGAACGACAAGTTCGGACGGAAGGGTGAGCTGTAACGTTGCGTTCACTCGCAAACTATTTCAACACTCATTTGTTGTAGTTGGGTTTCTTGTTGGCTGTGGAATAGCACTTCTTGGTGCCGTACTGCGTCTTCTGGCCATCTGCGTGTACAGACCAGAGCTGCTGATTGTTGGTCGATTCCTGACAGCTATGTGCGAAGCGATCACCTACCAGTCGTGTATTCTCTATCTTCAGGTTCCCTATTTTCTTACCTATAGAATACTTTTTCTAGTGAACTATACGCCGAAATGAATAAGCTAAGGGTTAGATTCAAGCAGCAATCTGACTTTGGAAATTTAATTTAATGAAATTCTGTATTGTTCGTTAGAGGCAGCGCCCGCGTCCAATTTGATGACAGTGACAACAAGGTAAGAAGTGGTTCATTAGTAAAGAGGAATACAAACAAATCTCGGATATGGCTCCCCATATACGACCCCGAGCCGCCGAGCTAGCTTGTACGTGCTTGAAGGCGAAGAGAAGCGCGACCGCCGAGTTTCTCACTTGATGATATGCAAGCCTTTTTTCCCTATCACCCTTTCCACTCTCACCAACATTCAAAGTGGAGAAGAGTTAGAGGCAGAACAACCAGTGGTGCCAGGGTGGACGGCTCACATGACATCTTTCCGCGCCCTCAGGTGGCCGCTTTGGGCGTATACCCCACCGCTCTCAGCAACATTCGCACCCGAGCGTCTATCTTTCGCAAGGACTAAAGTCTACCTATAATCCCACTCAAGAGCTGTGTATATACGGGGTAATTTCAACATCCTGATTACCGAGTATACGCACACTCATCCTTGGCGGCTGCGCCGCCCAAGCAGACTGGACAGTTTACGATTACCTCCTGGCTCAGCCCGTTCACCACAAGCGCAGCATAGCCGTTCACGCGTTTCCAATTAGGGCGGCCAGCGGCAAGAGTGAATGTCATATTTGTGATTAGAATGTTAAACTACTCCTATAAAGTTTTTAGCGGATTTGGAGACTCAGGCAATTAAGAAATGAGGATCGTGGCATTGCACTGTGAGTGCACAACGGCAATTAGCACCACTCTCGCCACGAGGCGGCGCGGCCGGCTATTCTTCCTGCATTTATTGAGTTGCGAAACTAAGTAAGGTCCAACCATCCTCATAGGCGTGACTAATTCCAAAGAGGGGCTTGGAAACAACACAAATAGAATGTGGGCGCTGCCTTTTGAGCCGGCAGAACTGCTACGTAGTTTGTACTTACAAATCACCAAATATACAAGTATGCGCGATCAGTGCCATAAGGCGCAATAGCGCCAACGGCGAACGGCGCCCCACTTGTTTCGCGCCACCACTTTTTCGCCCAACTCGGTATAAACTTACACACTGGAGCTATCCTGCTCGCATGTATGACATTCCTTCTTGGTGCTAACGAAAGCCACTGCTCTGGTCAACGCTATGCTAAGGCTTCAACCTGAAAAGCGCGAATCAGTACTCTTTCCACACACAGCCTCAGCAAAGCGCTACATAGCGCTGCCGCTGGTGAATAAATGTCATCTCCGTAAAAAGGGCATCAAGAGCCCTTGTATGCAAGTTTACTTCCATTTCAGAGCAGAAAGTGACGGTGCCGATTCGCGCCAAATGGCTCCGATTTTCGGAACAATTGTTAAGTGCTTGATAGGGGCACTAAGTAGCCCCTACAAGCAAAAATTGAACGGAAATTCCGTTTTGGGGTTGTTATAGTTGAACAGTGAGAACGTTATGTCTTGTGTAATGAGCACTCGCCTCTTTTCATTCAGGAATGTTCGCCTACGCACAAAAGGGGCATGATGACGTTCCTCAGCGAGATTTCCTACTCGTCCATGTGCTTCGTCGGCATGATGCTTGGCACACGCCAAATGCTCGGTGGCGATCTTGTTGCCTTGATGACGTTTGCTGTACCATTCTGTAAGTGTATTTTATAAGGCTCTTCCACATTGTAGTAGCGGTACGAAAGGTCCTCACGAAAAATTTAGGGGTCCTGTATAGTGAGGACCGTGGTACGCTGGAAAATCCGGAGTGAGGCCTGGAATATGCTATTTAGCCTGACAAAATTTGAAACTTGATTTTTGCTGTTCTGCCTGTGCTATCTGGGATGCTTCCGTTAGGTGAAGGGGACGGAGGGGGTGGAGGTGGGCAGGAGGTGTTGTGCAGAAAAAGTGGGAAATTTTCTGGAAAACCGGGAAAAAGGATAGGAAGTTGGCAAAAGGAGGGTCGTATTCAAGGGCAAACATTGAATTGACTACAGTTCCTACATGTGACCCCACCCCCAGTTCGCAGGAGATGACTATGGCTTAGCAAACTGAGGGAGATTTATTTTAGACAAGGTTTACAGTGAGGAAAGTACTTCACAGTGGAGTTTTCCTTACCGCTTCCGAGAAAGTTACGGCAGTCCGAAGAAGGGCGCCCAAGAAGTAATCTGCTCCGCAGGATCGCAGTGGCTATATATGCTGAAAAATGGAGCTTCCGCTGAAATCAATGCTTTCTGGGATTGAGCACGCTCTACTCTGATTCAGGAACATAGTTGCTAAGTGAACGCAATGTGGTCTATGAGATGAGCTGAGGGGTCGCATGATGGCTTCTGAGTAGCAAATAACGCGAAGTATTTTGGGCAAACGCGAGTTCTTCACCTTTCAATGGAAAAAAAAACTTCGTTCAAACGTAACGTAGAATGGAGATATACAGGGCAGTAAAAACTACACGGATTTTTCTTTCTAAAGGCAGTTGGCACGATGAACCCCTACGACGAGAGTACTATTAATACCGTTGGCAAGACGGAAATCCGCCACCTTGAGCAGGCGCTGTGCAGCGCCTCTTCCAAGGAAGGTATCCTTATAAGCGCCCTAGCAAGCTTCAACATTCCCAACCACGCCCGCCCGCCCACAAATGGACGACCGTACCTGGTGCTCGTATTGCTTCATTTGCGAAGTAGAATATGAGGCGAGTCGGTGCTGCATGGATGTATGAGTACATACGTGCAGCCGTATCTACCGTAGCGGTTATTGGCAAGCTGCCCATGGGAAACTCGTCCAAAATTGCTTTTTGAGTCATTAAGAACGGGGCATTTCTTTGCAAGTTTTTGACCGTTTCACTTTGTTCTTTCGCCATTTTCCCCCACTATATAGCGCCCTGCTAGCATTTCAGGTCGTCTACAAAATTGTCATGCCAGCTGCCTTTCATAGGCACAACAGCTATACTGTAGCTCAATTGCAGCCAAAACTCACTTGTTGCTTAAAACCACAGAGAAATAACGAGGAGGATTTTTGAAGCGAGTTCTCTACCTTTCATAGGCCATAGCTTCGTTCGAACATAACGAGAAAGAGTATTGGGAACTAGAAGGATTTCTTATTTTACTAAATACCACAGCTTTGCTGTGGCTTGATTATAGCGAGAATTCGCCATGAGAAGCTCCCGGCATGCCAAGCCCACATTTCCATCTAGAAAGCTCGGTAGGCCTTCCGTGCTCCTCCCCTTCAAGTAGAGACTAGCAACTGCAGCAGAGAGGCGCTCTTCACTCGACCCCTTCCCGAACTCATCACTCATCCTGCAACTATATTAGGTGCTGATCTCTGAAAATATGGCCCCCTCTCCCCTCAGGAGAGAGGCCCCCGTGTCGCGGAGGCCGCGACGTATGCTTGACCCGTGCTTCAAACCAAGCCGCATTGGTAGTATGTCACGAAAGTTAAACAAGGGCCACACATCCATTAATTATCCTCGTCATCCGGGCAGTTGATTAGGGCGGTCGTCAACGGGCCGCAGCGCGTGCCAGGAACTATTTGCTTTTTCCAGGCTAATTTACTTTTTCCCAGATTAGCAGCTCCTTATCTTCACAAGGTGGAAAAAATGACTAAATTAGCCTGGAAAAAGCAAATAGTTCCTGGCACGCGCTGCGGCCCGTTGACGACCGCCCTAATCAACTGCCCGGATGACGAGGTTACATCCATTAACACATCCATTAACACATCCATTACGTTTCCTGAAAAAAATGTTGTTATCTTTAGGTACATTTTTCTTCGTCGCACTCTTCTTCCTTCCGGAAACGCCGAAATTTCTTCTGATTTCGCATTCAAATCGCCCAGCAGCTGAGCGGTCAGTACGCTTCTACCACGGCTCCGATTGTGATGTCGACACAGTGATCAAGGAAATTATTTTGGTGGGTGTACAGAGAGACATTTCTCGAGGAGACTTCTTTTCTAATCAGCTGACCGATTTCGATTGCCATCAGTAGTCAAATGAGTCTAATGCTATATACCCCTACTTGCTTACCGGTCGGAATTCCTTCATGCTTCTGATAAATACTTTTCCCGTCCGAGTATTTTATCGTTAGCGGCAGTAGTTGTCGCTTACCATCTACAGCATTGCTCATCATGGTGAAGTATGAGGTACTGGCGCGACAAACCAGCCCCCCCTCCCCTTGTACTTCATCTGCAGAGAACAATGCTGTAGGTGGCACAATGTAACACCGAGCATTGGTCGCTTACTCGAAGACAAAATCCACCATTGATGGTCTTTCTTGTGGAATGGGTTGACAGATTGTAGCAGTCACATTTTTGTCTTTTAAAAGCGCTTGGAAATGAAGCGGAACAGCAGTTGTTTTGGACTCTGCCCGCGCTCCCTCAAGGCCAGCTTTTGCGTCGATACCGGAAAACTGGCCAACTTACAGTCAAAGGTACAGAAAAAGCGCTTGAGAGGAAGTAGACAACCACTGCGTTTAGCTATCGTTAGGCGTATGGCTGGCTTTGTGCAGCGCAGGACTGATGCCGATTGGACGCACTCACTTTCTGCTATTGGCTCATTTATGAAGTGCTCTGATCACCAAATCCACTGAAAACTTGTGTACAGAGGTTACATAACATCCTGATTACGAGTATAACATTGATTCTTAACGCTGGCTGAGCCTAGCTTGAAGGGAATAACTACTTCTACCAGCCTACAGCCTTAACGTTGAGGGGTGGGAAGTGAGTTGGGAGGGTTGTACGTAACAAAGCTATCCTGGGATGCTATGTGCTAAGCGATTTGATATGTATTGGATATGTTAATTGTTTCTCATCATCGCCGTCGTACTGTTCTTCAGCACTGATGTCGCCGGATCACCTTCTATTCTATATTTTGGGTGAGAATTCACAGAATTGTTATGCAAACTATCGATCTGTGAGAAAAATTTGAATGAAATTACACTTTATACCTTGGAGCATGAGGGAGCGTGGCTGCATCCTTCGTTCGAACACGGCGAACAACTGCGCTTCTGGGTCCAGTTAGACAAGGCAGGATGGTAGTTGTCCTAACAGAAATAACTATCTGAAAAGCGTGCTCTATTCAAATGAATGAAGCAGCCACGCCTCCCTCCTGCGGGATGTGAAATGTAAGTATAAGGCTGTAGATGAAGTTGTTGTCATTAATTGTAAACTTTTGCATGGTCCCTATGAGGCTTACGAAAGTAGTGCCATAGTTCCTTTATTTATTTATTTATTCTATTTATTTGAATGTGCGTCAGTCATCAGTAATCCCAAAAAATAGAAGCAACTAGAGGGCAAGACATTCAACTGACACTAGAAATCGATGAAAAAAAGCTATGCAATGATTGAAACGAAATGAATTTGAAGAAGCTGCTCTCGAGACGCAGGTCCTAATGGCTGTAGCTGCCGGACAACCGCGAAAGAAAAAAAGATTAGCGACGCACATACAAACACACAGAACACACAACACAGCACACACATCCACAACACATACACACACACTATTAGGGTACAGCATTACGATGGGTGGAATGGCCACTTTATGAATATCGTCCTGGCAGCTGAAACTGTGTGTGTCCAAACAGTATCACTCCAGCGCAGGCGGAGTTTAGAACAGCTTTGAACTATCACCATCCTCCAGTCTCATTTCCGCGCGCTTCGAAGTGATGGAAGTGTCGCTTCTGCAGCCACCGACCCGTTCTTTTTTGCACATGGCAAGAATCAGAACCCCTGAGGGTGAGAGCATTCTTCAGGATGAGCGCAGAGTTTGCCCTTGAAGTTTTGAAGTGATTCCTTTAAGTTTTACATTCTATTTTCAACGTACTGCTTTCAAGGAAGCAGAAGATGAGACAGAGACGGCCACATCTTGGAAATCTGCTAAGGAGCTATTCACCGAGCCGCATTTGAGAAGAGCAGTTCTGCTCAGCATTTCTGCCTTGCAGGTATGTTCAACAGAATATCGGCATTCCTCTTGAATCTCATCTGGGAAGTTCAGAACACGGTTGCTCTTTGGTCGATGTTGTTGTCTTCTACGTACTTTCTCGAAGAAATCGGTCTTGATCAAGCAGTCGCTTCTTGGAGCAGTACCGCAATGACATTAGGATACGTTCTGGGCACATTGGCAGGATCGACATGGATCGAACGGTGAGCTCGTCGCCTTTCTCGGTGTTTACTTAAGCTCCTCTGCATCGGCTCAAATTATTGCTCTACGATGTAAATGCTTCAGATTTGGTCGCCGCACAATTCTGCTTTCATTCACCATCGTTGATAATCTTCTCCTGGTGTTCTACGTAGTTTGTGCTGAAATGAGTCCAATTGTCAAACAGTTCAGATACAGCTGCCTCGTTCTACTAATCGCCTACGCCTTTGTCTACGGGTAATCTTTTTTCTCATTTCTCTTCAAAAAACGCACATCCGTTCTACCATTTGAACCATTTGTCTCTATCGAAGCTGCCCTGAGTTCTATTTTCGGTACTTACTTTCCTGTGTCTTTACACAGCAAATTTTGACACTGAATTTCTCTCTCGCGTACAATTGTTAATACTAGGAAGTCAGTCTGGGCTTGTTAGCGGCGCGCGGGTTTTGACGCAGCGCCAGCCTCTTTTCCACAGCTCTCGAAGCCTTCACGACCGATGGAATACGGGCGGGCATCGCGCCAAAATCTATGGTACCCCCAACTGACTTTAATGATAACGACTCTAAATTCGTCCTAAATCCCATCCGCGAGAGTTGAGAAGCTACCCGAAACAAAATGTCAGATTCGCTTATACCGGATCGGAAGGGGCTGGCACCCCACCACAGGCGCAAGCACGAAAACAGCTTGATTGTGCTGGAAACTTGTCACAAGCAGTAGTTTCACATCTTATTGATTATGTACATTATACGAAGTTACACGAGCGGATTATATATAGTAGGATTATACACTTGAAATCCCTGAGATATGGTAGGCGTGGCCTCGTACTTCAAGTGAACTTGACTGTTTTTGGTACATTTATTGAGATATTTTCATTTTGACACGAACATGATCATGTCTGTGTCCAGCGCTGAACAAGATGACATCTCGAACGGAAATATCTCACGAGTAATTTCCATGCCATGTTCATAGGACACCCCACTCCGCCTCAGGAATAGGGCTGTTTTGCTTGGTGTAAAAACGCTGAAACTCACCTAAGGCGTGAGCACCAAGCATCCTTACTCTGAACGGGTGTGCTATTCGTGTTCAAGGATACGTAATACCTCCAGAAAGACAGTCTGGGTCCAGTTTTCTAATAGAGAAGAGTTTCGCAGAAAATGTGGCCGCAGCTGTGACTAATTCACTAACTTTTCACCTGTTTTAGACCGATCAATCCTCTATTTTCAGCAGCGGCGTCGGTCCGATTTCATGGTTCATCTCATCGGAGCTTGTTCCACAAAAGTACCGTAGCCTGACGCAATCCACATGTTACTCCTTGAATACCATAATCGTTGTTATATTGACGTTTTCGATCCTTCCGTTGTACGGAATTGTGGGCTCTTATGCATTTCTCATCCTTTACACAATACCATCTGTGATAAGCATAGTGATACTGTACTGCTATCTACCGGAAACAAAAGGGAGAGAAATTCATGAGATCGTTGCCGAATTACGGGGAAAAACAAAATCGAGCTGAGGGAGAACCTGTAGGGCTCCAAACACACGCATCGCTTTCCTTGTGGACAGACTCTAGCGCCCACACTCAGTCATCTGCATCCAGGGTTGGTAGGACCGCGCAGCTCGTTGCTCAACTTTGAAAACCAAACGGGAACATCTTAGCTATATAACTTATACCGACCCCTTTGGGAACACATCTGGAATTATAGCAGTGTAATAAAGATAAAGCGAAGGTGAATCAATAAATATGTTTGTTATTGTTGTTCCACTGTGTTAAAATAGAAAATGCCAAAACGGGAATGTGAAAGTTAAATGCTAAGTAAAGAAGAAACTTGCAAAAAATGACATCTTGTGTACATTTTAACTTGCTTTCGAGACGTTAATCCAGCAGTAAGAGGAGAAATATCCAATATCATAATGTAACTGCATAATACTATTAGCGATGTAACGGGGGAAAGATCGTGTAGTGGCAAGCGTCCTTTGTCAGGAACGCTAAGAGAGTGCCTGGACTGTCTCCAGACAGCCAATTGGACTTTCCATCCCTCCTGGGCCAGAGCAGTGAAAGACCAGTCTCAGAGGTTGAAAACACTGATAAATACATGCGCCGGTCCTCACAAGTCATGGTGTGAAAAGGGATGCGTACCACATGCCCAGCATTCATTTTTAAGTATTTATTACGTGGCATGGTTGATCCCCCAACAACTTTCTCCACTTCGAGTGGTTGAAGTGAGGTGATAAGGAGAAAGAGTTGGTATGAACAAGTGACGAGTCCGATCACACGCTTCCCTCGGCTCATGCACGTACATACAACCTCAGTTCGGATTCAGTTTCTATAAAGGACATCTCCAAAGGTTTTTTTTGCTGCTTTCTCTCTGACTACTGAACCACTTGCTACTTGCTACTATTATCCGAGCAGTCATTATTTCTGAACACGGGCTCTGCCTTTGAAAGTGGTTCATCGATGAGGGAAAATTTCTTGAGCTGTTTTAATACGGTCAGATTTCCTGATGTTTTGGCAGTCATCACAGCCATTTATGAAGTGGTAAGATGCTCATGAGAATATAGTTGGTGGCCGCGAATCGGTCTGCCTTGGTTTGAGGAGATCGCACTCACTGTTATTCCTTGCTTTCTCCCTTTCTTTTCTGCATTCTCAATTTTTTGCTAGATCCTTAGAACCCTTGACGAGCCATTGTCAACGTGATAGCTGTGTGTCACATCCACCACAATTCTGTTTCGACAACCACTTGGATTAACTGTCACTTTATGTTTCTTTCGAAAGTTGTTCAATCTAGAGACTAAAGTTCCATGAACAAGATTGGAAATGTTACGGAAGTATCAAAAAGTGTGGGATTCTTTTTCCAGAGGATCAGAAGAGAGACTCTCTTTATTCATGTGAAGGAGGGTGGGAAGGCTGATCGTTTGAATGAAAGAGATCGTGTTGTAGAGCAGTGATCACGGAGGACGTTTCTGCATTCAACAGTCTAAGATCCCTCATAGTTAGATGGTCAAACAGCCTCATGCGAGAGCCTGCTCTATTTTTCAGGCATCTGTGTTCTGGAGATAACTGAACAAAGAACGGGGACCTACTAATGGATTCTCTTCTCAATCGGATTCGTTTGTGCTCCTTCAATGACTTGGAACTGTTCCCCATCTCGGAGTCCAGCTCTGGAGCCACAGCCACATGCTATGTTCAGGGAACGAAAAGGAGGATTCCTACGAAAGAGGAAATGAATATCCAAAGACGCTGCCAGTCATTATGAGAAGCCATCACCAGAACAGTGTAACTTTTCCCGTACTACGTGATCTTCCCACTGTTATGGCCTTGGTAAGGTGAAGCCGTGGCAGGTTAGACGGTTCACGTAACCCTATTTCGTTTCAAGAAGCATGAAATGATGATGATTGAGGCCTGGTAGATTCTCCTTTATAACCCATTTTTCCGTATATCATTGAACTGTTCAAGCCAGCGTTCCTTTCTACTCGTCCTTTCAACGCACTAGAGTTGCTCAATGGGCTCTCTGTGCGCGTGTGAAACGAAGTACATCATATCATTCGTTCAAAGCGTACACGAATATGTCTGACCATCGACCTCCAAGTGTCTTGACATTCCGTGGAATCCAGCCGGTAATCGTTCCGAAATTCACGGTGTGCCCGGTCCACGTGATCGTTGAAACATTAGGAAAGCGGCTTGAAATTCAATGGCCGAAAGGTTGCGGAGCTTTGAATTCCCTCCTCACTTGGGTACAGCGGGACTCTGAGCATCGCACTTTAAACTGCGCGCTGACGATGACCGTGTTCACCCTGCTTTCCTAGAGAGCAAATCTGAAAGGCGTACTCTCTACTTCGCTGCGGACGGTTGGGCGTGTCAGGCAGTATGAGTGTGTCACCCCGTCGAAGCCGTTCTCTGCCTTCTTGTTGAAGCGCGCATGCGACAAAAAGTGGTAGAAAACGAGTAATACGAAGGATATGATACAGTATTGTCACTTGCCCCTTCAACAACTGGTGGAGAACGAGTTTGGCACCGCGCCAAACGCAGCCGCACTGACACGCCCAACCGTCCGCAGCGAGCTACACTATATGTTATGGTGGCAAGAACCGTGAAAATGAAGTGAGTTCGAAGCTGGGTATTCTCCCTTTCCTTCACTACTCCCACAATGTTATTGGACCTCTCCAAAAAAAATACTGAGTTCCTCCTGCTAAGCTCTAGTGCTGAATCGTTCATCATATTTATGAGCATTCAGAGATGTTGTTCTGTAGGGGAAGAATGGGGCATCAGAAAGCAATCCGTTCTTCATGAACACTGTCTTCGCCAGAATGGGCTGCAGTCGCAGCCAGAGCTCTTGGCAGGGACATGAAGAGGCCAAGTAGTTTACGAATAAAAAGCTCCTTGATCATAGCGGATTTGGATGAAGTTTCGGCAATAAACCGCTTTACCATAGCAACTGTGCCAGCATAGACATGCACAGCCATGAAACTCTTCAATTATTCAAAGAAATATATGTTAGAAGAGAACAACATGATTGATCTTCGCCAAAAGATTCGCCACATGGTTATTCCTTCTGCTAACATTGGAGGCCAACTGCACGCTTACGTCCGTGGAACCAGGACCGGTCATGTGCGAGGTTTACGGCCCCGCAGCTGTTTCAAATTGATCGGGAAGTATTCTAGAGGGTAGCGCAAGCATGACGCCGTTTTCTACCCCGCCTGCGCGACGCTCGGCCATGCTTATTCATGGCTGAACGCACTACTTACCTGCGCATTCTCACTTGTGTTTACGAAAGGCATCCTCTACCGCTGAGTGCGTGTTTCGCTGCAGACCTTGGCATCGACGCAAACCCATTCGCCTCGCACACTGCGAGGACTCCTATGTGAGTGTACAGCTTGTTCCAAAGAAAGAGTAGATATCTTCCGTGAGTACGTAATCAACTTACCGCCAATAAGTTAGAGATACTGAATTCTCCAATCTCGCCTTTATTTGATAAGTCACGTTGAATGACGGCTGGCATAACGGCAATGCCATCAGAATTCCAATACTCCAATGAAGAATAGGAACGGAGAGCAACTGGCATCCTCGAAAGAGCCTGGGAAGCGCAGAGTGCAGAAAGTTTGCGTTCTTCAAGACAAAATTTTTGGGAATATTCAAAGATCGTCACCGAGAGCTCATCCCGTGCAGCTTACATTTTTGGTACAATATTCTTTATTTACTCTTCGTGGAACGTCTTCACTCCTAACGCAGTTTCTAAACCAGAGTTTTCTTCCTATGCAGCCTTCTTCAATGGCATATGGGCTCCCAGTTATCATCACAACTCACTACAGGTCTACCTACAGCACATTTCATACTTGGCTGAGGTCTTTACATTCATTTGGATGACTGTGGTACTCTCTCACTCCAAAAATGTCCAAATAGTTTCTAGGGCTGGCAATTAGGTTCATTTTCGAGAGTTTTTTATCGGTCTGTCTCTGAGGATAAACAATGACTATTAACTGACCTCATCTTGTTTTTTTTGATATAGTCGGCTATAAGTGATGTTAATTCGTCAGCATGATCATGTAATCGCCCATTCTTCGGAAAGCGTTTTTCCTTTCACTACTCAGACTATATTCCCAATCAAAAATGGGGGTTTCAGAACATACTCGTGCCCCAGGCACTACTTCATGCCCTAGCCACTATAATACCTTGGAGGCTCAATCTTGAAACCTCCCGAACAGATAAATGGAGAACCACGAATGCAGCATAGTCAGGGCCATTCACTAATACATAGAGCTATCAAAAAAGGACACTAGTTCATAGACGGTGCGCTTAAAACTTTTCTCGGACGGATTGACGAGGTAAATGGATAATGTGGACAACTGCTACAACCCTCTTAGCGTCCGTTCCCTCAAAGGCAAGTGACATTATAAATCCCCAAGACGTGTAGGGTCAATATACCCAGTACAGAGTCCGGCGCTCCGAGCAAGGGCTGGGTTCCCTTGTCAAGGTGCTACATACCGACTTGGACGCCCACCGCGCCCTCCCGCCCATAATGTCCGACCGACTGATGCTCGTATCGCTTCATTTGCGAAGTACAATATGAAGCGAAGGGATTGATATGAAGCGGCTGCGGTGCTGCATGGATATATAAGCAGATATATGTGCGAAATGGCGGTGTGAGTACGACCCCCCCCCCTCGAAGAGGGTCCAGTTACGACCCCCCCTCCTGCTCTAACTGACAACCAGATGCATGTTCACACCAAATGGCTTCCTGAAATGGAATCTGGATTTTCGAAAGGCGGACTCTGCTCTAAAATCCAGGCAATAATAGGCTGTTTCAGCCTCATGCAATATGAGGCTGAACAACAGCCTCGCATTACCTACATCGGTCTCGGTGTTCTACAATTTTGTCTCAGGATCAGAATAAAACTAGTCGTTCGACAACCATGTATGACATGCAACTTGTATTAAAGGCACAGTTTGCGACCGCAAATTGCGGGAAACGGAACTCAAATAGGCACAAAAAAGTGCTAAGTATCTGATTAGCGGAG